TGAGAGGGTCTATATCGCCAAGGGTCCCCCTAATCCTAACTCCCAAAAGCCTAGCTCCTGGGCTTAAGGGTTTAGGGTTTTGGGTTTTGGTCCTAAACCATAACCCCAAACCCCTAAACCCTGAAACCCCAACCCCGCTGGAATGGAAACCCGAAAGAGCACGAGTATGCCAACACCTGCTGCAACCATACTCCGAGATCTTAAACCCTAAACCCTAACCCTAAACCTTCAACCCCGAACCCTAAACTATTTCTGAAAACCTTAAACCCGAAACACTACTTCGACAAAACATACCAAGAGCAGCTGGGTATGCTGCTCTGAACTACAGCCATATGACCGTATCTCAAATGAAAGCAATCGAACATAGGGGCTTAATAATTGGAATAGGGTTCCCTTAAAGGGTTCTATGAAGGATCCATACTCGGTTTCTATGATATAGGGGCCTTAATAATTAGAATAGGTTTGGGGCACATTATACTATAGTTGTAATAACGAACCCCCAAAATAGTATAGGTAATTTATAAGGCCCCTGTATGAAACCCTCAACCTCTGCAACCCCAATTCCTTAACCCACACCCTAACGCTCCTAAAGCCCAAACCCTGTGGCACCCAAACAACTTCTGGCAAATGAAACCTAAACCGCTAAACACTAAACCCTAAACCGCTAAACCCTTCAAGGTGAAATGGCGCACCGACGATCTCCGTCGTGCTCTGGAGCACGGCAGGCTCAGAGTCCAAGACGACCTGCCATGTTCCAGCAGGTTTTGGGTTTTTTCGGGGTGTAGGGTTTAGGGGTTTAGGGCTTTGGGGTTTAGGGTTTCAGGGCTTTAGGGGTTTAGGGTTTCAGCTCTTGCGGATTTGGGGTTTAGGGCTTAAGGGTTTAAGGTTTTGGGGCCTCTTTCTTGTACGGTTTTAGGGTTTAGGGTGACACGACTCATCCGACAAAAGGACTCTGCAGCTCGACGCCGATAACCCTAAACCCCCGTCCCGAAATCCCTAAGAGTGAAGACTGAACCGAAATCCCGAAAATGGAGGCAGCAGCACCACCACCATCACCACCGACAACACCGCCCTCATTACCATACTTCTGCTACTACTCGACATCAACAGAATCATCTTCCATTCGATACGGGCATCTCGTCATCCTCGCCATCATCAACATCATCACCACCATCATCACGATCATCGACAGCCATATTGACCACGCAAGTATCCATCGGCAGCGTCGCTACCGGAGCTGCAGGAGAGGGAGGGGAAAGAGATGTCTCTGCGAGAAGGAGCTGTTGTGCAGGCACCTCCTAGGTAATATAGGGGCCTTAATCATGGTTTATTTTGTTTTGGGGCCCAGTATACGATAATTACAAAAAGGAGCCCCCAAAGAGTAGAGGTAAAAATCAAGGCCCCTATATTAAACGCCTACACCAAAGACAATTCAAGAAAGCCATGAAAAGCCGCTCTTGCCGTTCAGGAAAAGTCACACACACACACACACACAGACACACTTACAGTAGAAGCCAGAAAGTTGGAATATCATTGTCGTAACCCCTTTAAGGTACATTATAGGGGATCCTACCATTAATCCATATTCCAACTTTCTGGAGTTCCCTTTACACTTACTTACTTACTTACTTCTTTGCGCTGCTGGGTTCCCCAATCTCCAAACCGGCACAGGAAGCAACGGGCACATGCAAGGCAAACCTGAAACCCTACGATGCCCATTCGGACGGTGCTGGCGGGTTTGGGGGTTTAGGGTTTAGGGTTTAGAGAGTGCTTGGCATAGTGACAAAAGTACATCCTGAGAACCACTATGACTAGTATCATCAGCTGCAGCATCGTCAGCACATCCACACTTGTAGCTATAGTCATAAGCATAGTCTCACCCCAAACAAGATAACATGACTATACTGCGAATGGTGATGATCCTGATCTATACTACTGATTACTGTTACAAGTACTATTGTAAGCCATTACATGATAGCATAGCGATCATAATGACCATAATATCAATCTTAGCAGCAACAGTATGAATGGTAATAATACGGACAAAGGGTAAACAATAAAAACAAGAATATACTAATAATAGCAATAGAAATCACAACAGAAAATATTCAGGATTGCTAAGAATGATGGCAACAACACACAAAATAATGCCAGTGGTGATTCTAATGATTGCAAGATAATGTCTAGCATTACTGATTATCAGAAAACAATCACAATAGTATGGGTACGGCCCCCATACAGTAACAGTCTATAATAGGGCTATTACTAAGGGCCTGATATATCTATATTATGAATATTATCCAACTGTTACGGGGGGGGGGCCGTACCCAAACAATAGTCATCGTCATCGTCATAAACCACAAGAGACTCGATGCTCTCGGTCACATTTTTCTCCACACGCTTGGTTCTAAGCTCGAGCTATGTGTGGGAGTTTCCGAAAATAGGGGTACCTTACTTAGGGGTCCTGATAATAAGGATCCTACTATTTGGGATACTATATTAGGGTCCCCTATTTTCGGAAACCCCCATGTGAAAGTAAACTTGACTAGAGGTAGGGGGATATTATCACAAATTCTTCCAAGTCTTCCATTTTGCCTTCCTTAAGTGCTAACCCCTTCTGCTTGAACTGAAACCCAATGCACCGAACTCTAAGCCTTTGCCAAAACGACTGGATACGTCCCCTCGGCAAAGATATATACATACAGAAACATATATATGTACTGCGTGTAGATCTAATTAGTCAAACAGGATCTCCAGTTTCTACACCAAAAATCTCAACCAACGCCGAATGACACTGCGGGTTTGTCATCTAGGGCCATCGATTTCGGGATTGGGGACTAGACCGTAACAAAACCCTAGCTTCACGCCCGTCACAGCGGCAGCGGCTTGGCTGCTCTGCTGCACCTCAATTAGCACTGTTCTCTAGTACAGGGGCCTTAAAAATTGCCAATACTATTTTGGGGGGGCTCGATATTATACTGATAGACTAATGGGTGACAAAACCCTATTCTAATTATTAAGGCCCTGATATTATGGCATTGACCTGTAAAGGAGCGCTTTTGGGATATATATGGTTAGAACTGTGTTTGTAATTTTCCTGTGGTTGGTATGGTGTTATAGGGGTGAGAGCATCTGCCAACATACCGGCTACAGAGGCTGAAGTTTCAATATAGCTCAGGGTGCAATCTGGTGGGCCGTAGTAATTTGAATAGAACCTTGGGTATATGCTTAAAAAAATCATGCAAGGACTGCAGGGGGCTAGCCTTACTCATGACTCAGATACACATTGAAGTTTCCGAAAATAGGGGACCCTAATATAGCATCCTAAATAGTAGGGTCCTTGTTATAAGGACCCCCAAATAAGATACCCCAAAACCCTAAGCCCTTGTAGATCCCCTATAGAACCCTTAAAGGAACCCCAAAATAGGATACCCCTACTTTTCGAAAACTCCCACATCGAGGCTCCCAAACTCAGGAGAATATGTGGTGTTCACGCGAGAGGAGGGCCAGGCACAAGAAGTTGCCAGATCTGTAAAGTACAGTAGGGGCCTTAGTGATCAGATCTGTAACATACAGTAGGGGCCTTAATGATCAGAATAAGGTGGGATTAGGGTTTAGGGTTTTGGGTCTTTAGGGTATGTTACACTATTGCCATACTGGGACTATAAGGCCAGCCGTATCCCTGCAGACGTGAGCAATATTGCGGGTCGGAATATTTGTACCAATTCCCCTTAAAACCCTCTATCTTGAGCTACCATAACCGATTTTTTGTAGGTTCTTACTTTACACCCTTATACGAAATTTATGGCAACCACACAAAAAAGTATGTTTTGGTAGATTTGGGCATACGGTTGTACGAACATCTAGCCCAAAACCATCACAGAGGCCAGCGCATTTTCTCCAAGAAGGCGCACCGCAGCACTTAGGGTTTCGGGTTTAGGGCTTCGGGTCTGCAAGGAGCTTGCCTCCTGCCAAAAACCCTGCCATGGAGCCGGCCTTCGTGGCTCTGGCTTTCACGTTTCCCTTCCGGTTTAGGGTTGAGGTATTGGGCTTCGGGCTTAGGTTTAGGGTTTTCTTTAGGGTTTAGGGTTTAGGGCTCCGACTACACCAACCCGGGGATTCATTTCTCCTCCCAAACAGCTGAACCCTGGATCCTTGTTCGTAAACAATGTAGATCTGCAAGCCCCCATATCAACTTGAGGATTCTATGAGGGTTCAGGCTTCGGGATCTGCCTGTCTGTCTGTCTGTCTGTCTGCCTGTCTGTCTATGTGTCTGCATGCATTTATCTGGGTTGTAGTTTCCGGGCCCTCAAAAAAGTATTTATGAATAGGTACATCTATAGGAACCATAAGGGAAATTAAAAAGGTTTCCAACAGTGCCACCTAGTTACCTAGTTATTTGTGTATACAGGGAACTCCAGAAAGTTGGAATATGGATTAATGGTAGGATCCCCTATAACTTACCTTAAAGGGGTTACGATAATGATATTCCAACTTTCTGGCTTCTACTGTAAGAAAGTGTGTATACAAGCTGAATTAGACAGGCACAAGGCGGCCGCAGGCAGGGCGCCAGCAGCTCCCTCTCTGGACTTCTGGGCTCTTGCTAAGGAACCTAATTTAAGTTCAGAATATTTACTCTAGATACCTATTGTGGTAACTTAAACCCTACACCCCCGAATTCAACTATTATTTACTCCACATACCTATTGTGGTAACTTAAACCCTACACCCCCGAATTCAACTATTATTTACTCCACATACCTATTGTGGTAACTTAGACATATATAAAATTGATTCCTTAACAAGGCCCCAGACTTGCTCGGTGCAGCGAAAATTGCGGTAAGCACTGCGATCTTCGAGTCTACTGTCGGCCCAAAAGACCACAGGGTTTCGGGTGGGGGCTTAAGGATCACACGAAAACAGATCACTGGAATCCTTCTACCCATGTCTAGATTCCTTAAGTTTGCGTGGTGCTTTTGGGCCCTATCTGCCAAAACAGGTCATTTCCCGCTTGCCCAACATCGAAGATGAGCCGTTCTTTGCCTGATACTTTGTCAGAAAGCTCGACGCACATTTCTGCGACAAGAGCGCGCTCCACTTGCTAGCATGCGGAGCCTACGTAAGCCCGAGCACCTCACGCGTGCAAGGAATGCTCGACCTCCTCGATGATCCTGCAGCAGGCACTTGGAAGTTCATCTCTAGTTATAAGTGGGGGTATAAGTGAGCAACTGCAGTTAAAAGCCCTGTTAGGGGACCTATAACCCTACTTTATAACTACCCTAAACCCTAAATCCCTATACCCTTATAGAATTCCTATAGATCCCTTTAAAGGGGCCCTTAAAGGAACCCTTATATCTACCCATGAAGCTCCAAGCAAGAAAAACTCCCTGGTGGCAGAACAAGAAGGAGTTTCCGAAAATTAGGGGTTTAGGGTTCCTTTAAAGGGATCCTTTAAGGGTTCTATAAAGGGTTTAGGGTTTAGGGTTTAGAGTTTCCGAAAATTAGGGGGGGTACCTTTAAAGGGATCCTTTAGGGGTTCCTTAAAAGGGATCTATAAGGGTTCTATAGAGGGTTTAGGGTTTAGGGAGTTTCCGAAAATTAGGGGTACCCTTATTTTGGGCTCCTTATAATAAGGATCCTACTATTTAGGGTACTATATGAGGGTCCCCTATTTTTGGCAGGACAACAAGAGCTCCCTATTAGAAGCGCCACCAGCCGGTCTAGGGCTCAGGGTTTGGGGGCATTGTTATTCTTAGAATTATTGTTAGTATTACTACGAGTTTCAGTAATATTCTCATTATTAGTATTAATACGACTTTCATTCATATTCTTATTAATATTCATACATCGACCTCATACACTCGCGCGCAAGGCCTGCGCATCATCCCAACCGTCTCGAGGGGGAAGTCACCGTTAGCGGTCTCGCCACCTGGGTTTCGTGCGCGGTGTTGTTTGTACACGTGCTGCTTGTGCTCGAAATAAATTTTCTCCGATGTGCCCCGTGCTCATAATGTGAGCTTCAACCCTGCTTCGGTTGTACAGTGTGTTAAAACCCGCCCCCCACATAGCTTCTATAAAGAGAACTCGGTTTGAGGTTGTCGCCGTGCATTACACATCCCGAACCAAAGTTTGGCCACTCAAAACGTCCTCCACGCATGTGGCTGCTTGCGCTTTCACTCTCGCGAGTACATCGATACCAGCTAACAACGATTCATTTGGGAACAAACCGGCCGTGCTTTTTCAATCATGAACCGAAACTGGTCAAGTGATCAAAGGGGAAACCGACTGACATGATCGCGTCAGATGTGCTTCTGACTCTACATCGGCTGCACTTCGTGGCATCAGCTGTTCCAGGCACTTTTTCCAAAATTGGGCGTCTTGGTTCTGTCAAGTGACACTGGAGCGAATGTGGCATTGGATTCAGAGTTCGGGGTTTGAGTTTCTCATATGGGTTTTGGGACGTAGGCTTTAGGCTGTCAGCTTTAACCCTGCATTCATACGTACACATACGCACACGCAAATATGTGCATGTATAAGTACGCAGATACATACACAAGTGGGTGCTTGTCTGCATGTACGGCGGCATGCATGCATGCAGGCATGCAGGCAGCTGTGTGTTTCTTGCTTTGGGGCCCTTCGTGCACTCAGTCTCACAGCTGAGAACGAATTACAATCGCCAGATGCCGAAACCTAAACCCTAACCCCTCTATCCAACAGCCTTAAACCAAAATCCTAAACCTTGGATACTGCCCCCATGCACTAACAGTCTATAATAGGGCTACTATTAAGGTCCCAATATATCTATATTGTAATATTATCCAACTGTTAAACCAAAATCCTAAACCCCAAACGAGCTGGCAGCCTGAGGACTGGCTTTTTGAAGAACCTCTGCGTTGCGTGCTTTCTAAGCATCAAAGCTTAAAAAAAAAAAAGGTTGGGTTGTATAGGGCATAACCTGCAATCATATCAGGTCCCGTTTGCCTGTGTCTGACACAGATACATTTACAGATGCATATACATAAATATATATATATATATATATATATATACCTATATGTACATATAGACAGATACAGATATGTGTATATACATATGTGTATATATATATATACATATACATATATATATATATAGATGCGTTCCAAGCTGCTGAGCATGACCATGGAACTCCCATCCAAAACTGCGTTTGCCACGTCCAAGGCTTCGGCTCGCGTCGGGAATGGCTTGTCCTGGCAGGGTAGCCCCGAACCCTAAACCTCTGCCTTTAAACCCTACAACCCTAAACCCTATACACCCACAATCTGGAAGCACAGGAAGCAAAGCCCTCGATGATGACAAGCCCCATATTCCCGAAGCAAAACCCTGTATATAAACCCCATGCACGCGGACCTCCATGGAGGCCAACATCTCAGTTGCCGTCACGACGATCTTACCTGCCTCCTGCCGCAAAAACTGATGCTACTTCAGGGTATTGAGGGTTTTGGGTTGAGGGGGTAGGATTTGAAGGTCGGGGAGCCGGGTTCTGGGATTTCCAGCATCAGGAACCCAATCGTAGGGTTTCGCAGTTAGGGCTGCATGCAGATTTTTGCACAGGTTGTGCAAAAGCTCTGTTTAACTTGTTGGGGCATGTTACACTGTTGTTACCCTAAACCCTAAACCCAAAGCTTTAAGCTGCTTTTTGAAAACTGAAACTTGCAGATTTTCGCCGCCTCCATGGGCACATCTGAGTATTTAACAGCGGGAAACGAAAACACAAAACATCTATGTGCGCACATTAGGGTTTAGGTATCAGAGTTAAAGTGTAAAGTTAAGGCTTTTGTGTTTACCTGCTTGTATGTATGCAAGTATACAACCATGCACTGGTAGTAGGTAGGTAATGTAAGACACACAAACCCTAGGCGAGCATTTGCTACTGTACTTGTTGCATAATGGTGTGGATTTGCATTGCCCCCTGGTGGGAATCTTCACACAACGCTGTCACGTCCCCGGAAAGCAAACCAGCCACATGTGCCACAAACAATCTTGCAGGGTGGGAGGGAGGGATGAAGCATCGTTGCAATGGCTGCAGCAGCACAAGGAAGAACATGGAAACATGCGCAAAATTCGAGACTGCTCGGTGCATGCGATAGAGGGGGTCTCGATCAGCCTAGCGCAAGCAAACCATGTGTGTGTGTGTATGCATCTATGTATGTCTGTATGTATGTATGCATGCACATATGCAAAGTCTATGCATATGTACACGTATATGTATATTGTATGTAAGTATAGAGCAGTTTACAATTGTAGCAAAGGCACGGATGGAGCCTTTTGGCCATGCATGCAAATCATACTAAACAAGCCAATGTCTCACAATCTGCACTCTTGACTTGGCGTAAGCTGGGCCGACAAAGAAGTTACGTGAATGCAAATGCCAGTGCTCGGAAAGCTGTAACATGTAGCGATTCATGTCGTACCCTTTTGCTAGGAAGGGCAGAATGCATGCAGTTGCGCTTGCTGACTGCTGTTCAGACGACGACCTCGCTGCACACGGTGCCCAGGCAAACCCATACCCCTTGATGAAGGAAAATACCTCAAAATGAAACGGGCTTAATAACATAGTTCCTTAATTAAGGGGTATCGGACTCTCTGGGCCATTGCAGGAGCAATAGTATTCTCACGAAGCACCCGTGTGAATATAGTATAATATACCGCAAAATACCTCTTAGTTATAATAAGCCCGCTCGTCAAAATAGTATCATATGCCTCGATACTCGGCTGAACTCATAAAGGACTCTAAAACCGGTCATTCGTTTTCTGGGAACCCTAAATCCTAAACTCTTATATCCCAGATAAACTCATACAGGACCCCAAAACCAGGTCATTCGTCTTCTCGAAACCCTAAACCCTAAACCCTAGCTTATGCCTCGACATCCGGCTATAAGCGATAGTAATAAAGGACCCTAAACCCTAAACCCATCGTAACCCTCGACATCCAATTATACTTATAGTAATAAAGGACCCTACACCGGGTCATTCGTCTTCTTGATCATCATCTTCTGGGCCATCCAGATCTTTTCCATGGGGATCTCCATGCCGAGATCGCCTCGGTACTAGGGGCTGTAGGGTTTAGGGCCGTTGTTTTTGAACGCCTTTTCCCCCTCGCAGTTAAGGTCAGCGGAATCCACCAGGGTTTAGGGCCTTTAGGGTTTAGGCTTTAGGGTTTAAGGGCTTAGGGGAATTAGTGGGTTTAGGATTTAGGGTTTGCGTCTTAAGGGGTTTAAGGGTTTAGGGTTTAGGGCCTTTAGGGTTTAGGCTTTACGGTTTAAGGGTTTAGGGTTTGGAGTTTTGGATTTGGAGTTTAAGGGTTTAGGTTTGAGGGCCTTTAGAAAAGCTTTCTAAGAACTGTGGTAGGGTTATGGATGATTCTCATAAGATGCTTGGGAGGTTTTCACTGGCATTTGTAGGCTTGTAAACGTGCGTTTATGTTTCGGGGTTCAGCCCTCGTGCATTTGGCGTTGCGGGCCTTGGGTAGCGCGCTAACCTAACATGTTGAGGGTTGTAAGTACCTTACAGTTTAGGTACAAGGGTTCGAAAAAGTGTACTGAGGGATCAGGCAACTTAGCAAGTAGTTGTCTATATTGAAATGTGACCCCAAATAGGGTGTTTGCAACCCTACCACCCTTCACTCTAGAAACCCTTGCAGAAAGCCTCGTGAAACCCTTAAGCCCTTATAGAAACTTTAAACGAACACCGCAACATGCTAGAATCAAAACACTTGCTGTGAACTTTCCAGACTGTCAGGCGATCCAGAAGCCTCAAATGAAGCAATTCCCAGAGAGCCCAATACCCCTTAATTAAGGAATATACCTTAAATCATAATACTAAGGCCTCTACAATTTAAGGTATATTCCTTAATGAAGGGGTATTGGGCTCTCTGGGTTCACCCTGCCCCACCAAAGGGATTCCACCTTAAATTTCAGGTGCCTCTTGACGCTCGTAGTAGGGCTGACTGAGTCATAATGTAGGAGCCTAAGTCGTCATTAGAATTTCGGGTATATTGTCCTCTAAGTATATAAGGACTGTCATAGGATATCCGCCGAGGCCAAAGGCCTGGGCCGCCTTGTCACTGCCTGCAGCAGCCGAGGCGGGCTGCGTAGCGTTGGAAGTACGAATAATTCCCCGAATCAGCGACTAACCCTAAACCTTAAACCCAAGACCCTAAACCCTAAACCCCTAAACCCTAAACCCTAAACCCTTAAATCCTTAACCCCTAAACCCCTAAACCCCTAAACCCAATCAGCGATTAACAAGGTGGACGAACTTCGGGCCAAGAGGCCCCGAGCCACCATGATGCCGTCAGCCTGGGCTTGTTTAGATTTTGTCGGTACCGTTTAGGGTTCAGGCTTTAAGGTTTAAGGTCGAGGTGTTGGGGAAGAATTCTTAACTATGAATCCACGTGGCTGATAATGGTAAGGCTGAGGATCAGGAAAGAGCGGACGGTCAGACCGCGATCATGACGACGAAGAAGGTGATGCCGATGACTTTAGCTAGGGTAGCATTCACATCAACAGTTTCTACGAGATGCAAAAGGTCGCCAGTTGTGGCGCTGGCTGTGTTTATCCCGGGTGCATGAGCTGTGGGACTGCCCGGTTGCCTAGGCCTGGTATCCCGAGCACACTCTCTGCTGCTTCTGCCCTTCCTGCTTGCATGGACCCTCCAACAAACTCCGCAACAAGCCTTGTAAATCCGAAAGGTTCTTCAGAGACCCTACGAACAAACTTTGTTCCCATCGCTGCCGCTACAGATCTGCAGTAATCCGCACGAAAAATGCCTACCCATAGGCTCCCTAGTATTTCCTTTTTGGAGTACCTTATAGGATTCTAAATGTGGGAGTTTCCGAAAATAGGGGACCCTAATATAATATCCGAAACAGTAGGATCCTTATTATAAGTACCCCAAAACAAGGTACCCCTAATTTTCGGAAACTCCCATGTGAACCCCGAAAAAGGAACTACTATGGAGCCTTAGGGTAAGGCGAGGCCTCCTTGAGGATGGCATCGAATTGGCGCAGGCCCTCCACCTGGGTTCCGAGACTCAGGGAACGGTCGTCACACTACAGTAGAAGCCAGAAAGTTGGAATATCATTATCGTAACCCCTTTAAGGTAAATTATAGGGGATCCTACCATTAATCCATATTCCAACTTTCTGGAGTTCCCTTTAGGCCTTAGACGGTTTGGGGTTTAGGGTTTAGGATTTGGGGTTTGGGGCTTTGGACTTATGGTTTCGAAGTTGAGGGTTCGGGGCTGCGGGCTTTGGCTTTGGGATGTTTTGGGTCTGGGACCTGAACAGCGTAGCTTTCTTTCGAGACGGTCGGTAAAGGTCTTTCCGGGTCGCGATGGCACCAACAGTCTTCAGGGTCATAATCAGCACGAGAATTAGTACAAGAGCAAGACCAAAGTACGCTTAACTGTCTGTACGAGTAAGAATACCAGAAGGACCAACGTGAGATAAACCATAACAGTGACCTGCACCCGAAACTCGCATGCCACCAAAACTTCAAACTTCTGAGGCTTCATGCTCCAATTCGGAGCAGGCCACATTCTCGATCTTGGCGATAATCTTCATGTCGTTCCCGCAGTGTCTCCTTTTCAGTTTAGACGGGAGAGTTTAGGGTTAGGGACCCATTACACCCCAAGCGCTAAGGAACTCGCAAACTTTCTCTCCCCTGAACCATCTTAAATCCTAAATCGTCAACACCGTAGATGCCCCTGCTGAAGCCACAAGTATCAACCAAACCGATCTGCCCTATGCCCCTGCGCACGACCCATCTTAAGGCGTAATGTGCCCCAGTCCGAACAGACGAGCGCGGCAGACCACACACTTGTGTAGGAGTTTGTCCATCTCAGTTTGTCTAAAGGATCTATATGATTCTCCACTGTCGGCTACCAATGCTGTTTTTTGAGTATCTATTTGCCACTCCATCTCTGGGCATGTCTTTGCTTCGCCCACATACATACATACATACACACATACACCCCTAAACCCTAAACCCTAAACCCTAAACCATACATACATAGCCTAACTCCTTACCTTCATAGTGGAAAGGGCTGTCCTGGGTAGGAGAAGACGGGGTCCCATACGCTATACTCACCATTCTTGACAGGGATCCGGGCAGGGTTTAGGGTTTAGGGTTTAGGCCCTAAACCCCCAAAAAAACGCCTGCATTCGATGATGTCTTCGGCCGACTGGACAAAGCTGAGTGCGATGTAGTGTGCCTGATGGGCACCGGGCTGAGGGTTCAGGAAAATTTGGCGCTTTGGCTTCCAGGCTTAGGAGCCGAAAGAAGTATCCCTGCAGGGATCTCACTAGTGTATGTTTATGTAGAGTATGGTTTATATTACTAGTACCCCCATAATAAAACTCAATAATATATACACTCACCAATATTGAAAGGGAGCCCTATCTACACTCACCAAAACAGGTTATTAAAACCCTACTTCATGTGGCTTCGATGGTTCCCAAAGCAGGCACCGGGGAAACTAGGGCCTGGAGTTTGAGGGTCCGGGGTTAGCGGCTTTGGACTTTGGGGCTTATGAATTTAGGCTGCAGGATCGAAGGTTTAGGGCAAGAATAGTTTCAGAGTAGTTTAGAGTAGTTTTCCAGTATAGTTTCAGAGTAGTTCAGAGTAGTTTTCCAGTATAGTTTCAGAGTAGTTTAGAGTAGTTTTACAGCAGCAGGATGCTGGTTTGGGCTCAGGACTTCCGGCTCAGAGATTCAGAGCTGCGATGCGCCGCACAGCCTTAGGGTTTAGGGTTTAGGGTTTAGGGTTTAGGGTTTTGGGTTTAGGGTTTAGGGTTTAGGGTACGAGCTCAGGCAGCATCCAATCCAGCAGGCCAAAAAAGCTGCTGGGAGATCAATGAAAAGGAACCGGAATGGCTTGGCGGTAGCAGTTTTGAACTCGATCATACTGCCAACAGGAATGAAAAGTTGGTACTGCTGGCTGGCTTTAACCTGCAATGTGGCAATAGCAGTGTACGCTCCAGTCGCCGTAGCCGTCGCAACAGTAGTTTCAGGAGTAGTCGTCGCCGTGCGAGGAGCAGTATTGGTCGTCGTCGTCGCCGTCTTCCTTGTCGTGGTCGTCAAACAAAAGTCGTAACCCCAAACCCTAAACCGCAGCAGCACCCCCGTTCCCAGAGAGCCCAAGACCCCCTGAATTAAGGAATAGACCTTAAATTGTAGAGGCCTTAATATGATGATTTAAGGTATATTCCTTAATTAAGGGGTATTATGATTTAAGGTATATTCCTTAATTAAGGGGTATTGGGCTCTCTGGGTTTAACCGCGACATTTCAACAGTCGGTGCTCTGGCTTCGCAGGTGACCGCTGAGCAAGCAGCTTGGGGGCTTCGGCATGCTAGGAGGCTCCTCAACTCCCCGGGTTTGGGGTTTAGGGTTTGGGATTTAGGGAAATAGGGTTTAGGGAGAAAGGGTGGAGGCTTGGGGCTTTAGGGGTTTAGGGTGGTTCTGAATCAGGAAATGGGGCGATGGATTCCGAAGATGCCTATTAGGGTAGTCCTTATAACCCATTCCCCTAAGAACTACTTGGAGGTTCATGGGTCGTTATGAATAAGCCACCTAGTAGTGCTTATAATTGTAGTTACCCTACTCAAAACCCTACTTATAACCATCCATGAACCTCCAAGTAGGGGGCAAACGGACAGACAAACCTCCCGATGTTCCCGCTTTGTGCCTTGTGTGGCACGGCCCAGTTCACCTCGGTGAATTCGGCAATCATGACGGTTTAGGGTTTAGGGTTGCAGCCCTAGATCCTAAGCCCCAAAACCCTACACACACAAACCCTAACCCTCTCAACCCTCAACCACAACCCCTACACTCAGCGTTAATACCCTCTAAGCCATGACCCTCAAACCTAAATGTAGGGTAACTCTAATTATAAGCCATATTAGGGGACTTATAACCCCACTTATAACTACCCTAAACCCTCAACCCCTATACCCTCATAGAATCCCTATAGATCCCTTCAAAGGGCCCTTAAAAGGAACCCCCTACGCCCCAACCCCTAATTTCAGCCCATAGGCTGAAACGCTCTGGGTGTCCATTCTTCTCCTTCTTGGAGGGTCGGGGGACTTAGCAACTACAAGGGGTTCCTTAACGGCCCCTTTAAAGGGATCTATAGGGATTCTATAAGGGTTTAGGGTTTGGGGGACTTAGTAACTGGTTATTTTAGGGACTTATAAGTACCATAACCCCAATTAGGATGCTTCTTAGGGTACTTAGAAGTCTACTTACTACCTACTTACTAAGTCCCCCGACCCTCCAAGTTGCTATCCTTCCGGCTCCTGCAGCCGATTTAGGGGCCATGCTTAAGGCTTAGGGTTTGGGGGTTTAGGGGTTTTGGGGTTAGGGCTTTACAGGGATCTTGACTGAATTCGGAGTCTGTAAGGTTCTACAGTGATCTAAAACGGTGCGTCAGAGCTGTACAGGACTGCTGTACAGGTTTACACGGAGTTTGCAGGGCCTGACTGGGGATCTTATAGGCTTCTATAGGGGATATTCTTACTAGTATCCGTATGCTTAGCCCTGAGCCCAAAACAGCCGAGCCCTGAACCCCAAACCCTAGACCCTAAACCCCTAAAGTAAAAGCCAGAAAGTTGGAATATGATTATCCCAAACCCTTTGTGGTAAAATATAAGGTATCCCACCCTGAAACCATATTCCAACTTTCTGGAATTCCCTAAACCCCGAACCCCTAGCTGGTGCGGCTTGCGCGGCGATATCATGAATCTCCCGCTCGTCCACCACCGGGAGGTTGATCTTGACCTGGTTTTAGGGTTTGGGGGTTTACTTTAAGGTTTAGGGTTTCGGGTTTAGGGTGCAGTGTGGGATTTGGGAGCTTAGAGCCTGGTATTTAAGAATTTTGGAAAGCTCGGGGCCCTGAACCCTAAATATTCAAGCTCTGCGGCTTCACTCTAAGCCCTATAAATGCTAAACCTCGAAGGGCACAGGATTTCGGGCTTCGGGAACCACATCGAGACGCCGAAACAAACAAGCTTTGCACCAATGGCACTTGCATTTGGCAAGCCATAGTTGGCAGCCATGACACGCTTGGGTTTAAAGGGAACTCCAGAAAGTTGGAATATGGATTAATGGTATAATTTACCTTAAAGGGGTTAGGATAATGATATTCCAACTTTCTGGCTTCTACTGTAAAGGAACCCTAAACCCCTATAGATCCCTTTAAGGGAACCCCATAGATCCCCTTAAAGGGCTTTTTGTTTGTGGTTTCGGGCTCAGGGTTCGGCTCGAAGGTTTAGGGCTTAGTTCGGTTTCCGGTTTAGGGTTAGGCTTGAGAATTTGCAAGGGTTGCAGCTGTCCGGGAAGTTTGGGAAACTCTAGACCCTAAACCCTAAACTCTAAACCCTAAACCCTAAACTCTAAACCCTAAACCGTGATGTGCGCATACGATGAGTTCAATCTCAACTCCGGGCCGCCCCCGGGAAGGAACACGACCCGACCCAAAAGCAGGAACTCCGAAACCCCAAGCCCTAAACCCTGCACTCTGTACCCTAAACCCTAAACATCCCTAAACCCCAAACTCCCAAACCCCTGCACCCCTAAATCCAGAAGCCGAAACCCTTAAAAGTATAAACCCTAAACATCCCTAAACCCCAACCCCTGCACCTAACCCTTAAACGTACGAACCCTAAATCCCAGAGACTCCGCTGCTGCTGAGCCCTGCACTCCAGGCACATTGACGTTCTTCTTCTCCCCGAGGCGTCCATCGTTGAGCACCTTTCAGGAAGTAGGGTGTGCGGCTTAGGATTTAGGGCTTCGGGCTTAGGGCCTGGGGATTTTGGATCCGATTGTTCTAGGGTTCAGTTACGGGCTGAAGGCGCTAAGCTCTAAGGTTTCAGGATCCGGAGTTTCAGACGGACTCGGATGTGGGGCAGGCTTGGCAAAGATGCTGGAGTCCATGTAATGAGGGTCCTAGTATAAATATTGCTCATATTAAATACAATATGACTCCTGCCATTTTTGGGGTACACCAGGGTTCCTAATATTGGGAAGCTCCCATAATCGGGCCCAGTAAAAGCACATATGCAAAAATAAGGATAGGGATATCCCATATAAACCCCCTTTAAGAGGAAACCCAATAAGGTAGGGATATCCCTATAAAATGCTTATGCTTATGTGCTTTTTGGGGGGGGGTTTAGGGCTTTGGGTTGAGGGGTTTAGCGGCTTAGGGTTTAAGGGGTTTAGGAGTTTAGAGTTTAGGGTTTAAGGGCTTTAAGAATTTAGGGTGGAGGGCTTAGGGTTTGGTTTAGGGTTTAGTATTCAGGTCCACCGGGTCGTCTTCACGGGCCTTCATCGGGTGTAGGGGCTTCGAGCTTTATAGGATCCTTAAGGGAGGGTGGTTCAAGGGGGGAGGGTATCCTTAGGGGGGACTGTAAGGGAACCTTAGGGAGTACTAGGGAGAATTGGGGATCACTAGGCTATATACCCCCCTTGGAACCCCCCCTCCCTTAAGGATACTACAAGAGCTGTGTGCAAAGGATTATTTAACGTTATCCCTGACAACCCTCAGCGTTCACTGTTTAGAGACCAGGGCTACACACCGAAATAAAGACTATATCAGCTCTAGGAAAGCCGTACTTGGAGGTTCATGGGTAGTTATAACTAGGGTTATAAGCCCCCTAATAGGGATTGTAACTACTCTTATCCTACTTATAACCCCACTTATAACCACCCATGAACCTCCAAGTGGAGCACAAAACATTGAGCGTCGTGGCACCTTGGTGTCCACGTAGTCCGGACCACTTTTGACGACCTGCTTCTTGCGTAAGTTACTTGCCTGTTGCCTTTGAAGCAGGTATTATAGGGACCTATATAATTACCTACAATCTTTTTGGGCTTCCCTACTATAGCTATAGTATAGTATAATGGGGGTTGATTGAAAGCTTTTTGTTTGTTTACTCTGGGTTGCCGATTGAAGGGTTCAGGGGGATCATGGGAACCCGAAACCCCTTAAGCCTCCATACCGACACCTCGGACCCTAAACCCCTCAAGCCGCTAATCCCTGAACCCCCAAGCCCAACAACTCGGATGCCTTCTTCAAGTAATATAGGGGCCTCTATTCGAATAGGGTTTAGTTACCGCTATCTCTCCTACTCCTTGGTTCCCTGGCTGAGTTTAAGGTTTAGGGTCAAGGGTTTAGGATTTAGGACTCAGGGAATTGACTTTGGGGCTGGCCAGCGATTAGAGTTGAAGGGTTTTGAGCTTGGAGGATTGTCGGGTCTTGCGTTCGGTGGGCTGCTGCCCTAAACCCTGAGCCCTAGACAGCACTCTGAAACCCCGACGCCACAAACCCCTAAAATCATGATTGTTTAGACGAGCTTCAAGCAATAGACTTTTGTTTGGGGACTGCAGCGTTCAGGGTTCAGCGTCTAGCGCTCGGTACGCCATAACTCGCAAAGCCCTCAACCTTCAGCCGCCCACTGAGGAGCGTCAAAAGACAGGCCCTACATAAGGACGGCTTGTTTGGTAATACAAAGTCTACCTTGAACCCACCCTTGGATCCCTTCGACAGGAGTTACAACTTCAGGACAGCGACCTCCAGCATGATGGTGCCTTGGCTCGATCTGCCGAAACAGGGTCAGCTTCTCTGCTGTTGCCAGCACTTCTGGGCTCTGTGGTTCAGGGTTTTGTACGGTATAGGCATAGGGGTTCAAGGCTCTCTGGTTCACCGGTTGGGACCAAGATAGCTAACAACATCAATATCACTGTCGTGCCAGGCTGCACGTAGCGTCAACTGCTGCTACGACTAATACCTCTGCCGTGGAGCGAGTCTCTTCCAAAACCCAGCCGAATCCAACAAGCCATAAACCCTCGAATGCCAAAAACCTCAAACCTCACAGCCCCTAAACGCCTAAATAAACCCCCAAGGCCCTAAACCCCCAAACCCCTGAACCCTAAACCGGGCCTAAGATTCTAATGGTTCGAAGCACAGGGCTGCAAAGAAACCCCCAGCCCTAAACCCCAAACATGCCATGCTCAAGCACGCATTGGTTGGTATCCTTGAGTGCGGCACATGCAAGCGGGGGCCTGGTTATAACTTCCGGAGCTATAGCAGCAAATACTCATATTCCGACTTAAGGTGCTCATCACCTTACTTACGAAGTCCGCGGATTATTTTAAAGTAAACCCCTTTAAAGAATATCCGGCCCGGCTTCCGTCCTGAACCAGAATGAGCTGTCCAGGCTTCACGTCCTGCACCATCTACTGCAGAGCAATGCTAAACCCTAAACTCAAAACCCTCCACCGTAAACCCTTAAACCCCTAAACCCTGAACCCTCAACCCTAAACCGCCTGGTGGAACCCCTCTCTCGTTGCGACAGTAGATGGAGACCCTAAGCCCTAAACCGAACTTCTTCAATACCCTGGCACCCTGACAACCACACTACCCAGAGAGCCCAATACCCCTTAAGTAAGGAATATAGCTTAAATCAGAATATGAAGCCCTATATAATTTAAGCCATATTCCTTAATTAAGGGGTATTGGGCTCTCTGGGTACCCGGAGGTCACGAGGCTAAACACCCCCAGAGCTGAACCCCCATGGTTGGAACCCCACCTTCGGCAGATCCTTGTAGGTGATTGCCACTTGGGTCTCGTCACCTGGCAGCCAGGACAGCCTTCTTTTCTGCAACATTCTAGGGGTCCCAATAATTAGAATAGGATTTTGTAGTTTTGTGGTAAACTTATGGGACAAACTAACACACGAGTAAGGACCCGTCAGGAATACTGTTCGAAGAACACGGTTTTGGGGTATATCGTGGAACAGAAACAAGAGTAAGCAACCCCCAGGAAGAATACTCGGAATTAGCCAGGTCCCTATGCTATGTGCGGCCTCTCCTCAGCACCCTGATGATGTTGATGCAGTGGCGGCAGCAGCTGTAGTACGCAGTAGAAGGATGAGGAGGAGGACTACCAGCATTGTAGCAATCATGCAACTCCTGATGCTGGCTTTGGTTTTATAATGTATTTTAGTTACCCTAATGATTAGAATAAGGCTTTGCCATTATTATAATAAGGAACCCCCAAAACAGCATTGGAAATTTTTTTGGTGCGTATAGTAATTGCTTAAAGTTCAGGGCCGATTGCTTTGAGCATCTTCAGCTTCCTGCTCAAACGAAAGGAGCTACTCTTGCAAAAAGGACGACGACGACGACCACCATCACCACCAACAACAGTTACTGCCGCCGCCACCACCGCGACGGCATCGGCTGCTGCCAACAAAGAAGGTCGCCACTCTGTTGGTATCGACACGACGCATTGCAGATAATGGCGATGATGTGTGACATTGCTGCCGTACCCACATTCGGTTTTGCTGTGATAGTTAGCCCTTCACATGCCCTCTACAAATTCTGGTGTTGCATCACATCGCAAGAAG